AGAGAGAGAGAGAGAGAGAGAATAATCTGGTATGTCTCTGGGCTCCTCCCAAGTGAGCTTGTCAAAGTATACCCAGTACCAAGGGAGGTTGTACATTTTTGTCCCACACTCTGTCCCCAGCACTTCTTCATCATTGTAGGTAAATTTTCTCTACCCTCTCTCTTTCTCCTCCCTTCTTCCACTTCTAGTTGACAGCAGAGGGGTCTACTTCTCCTACTCACCCTGTCCCACAGATGTGTGATCTGAAGCTCAGGACAGGGACAGAAGTAATATAAGGGTGGCAATGTTAGGAACACAGAGCTTAGTCACAGCTGAGCATTCTAGGGAGTCCTCCCTGCCACCAGACCTCCAGTGATGAAGCTGTGTCCTCCCAGAGCCACAGAGCACACCCTATCCCTAACTCTCCCAGAGCCCTGACTTTGTACCCAGCTCGAATACTCCCAGGTTCCCCTCCACTACCAAGTGCCTTGGAGTCTTAGACCCAGTCTTCGTAGAGAGGCCAAGTCTGAGGAAAATGCTACCCCAGCTCTGTCTTATCCTGTCCTGTTCCATCCTAGAGACCTCACACCCCTCCACTTTGATCTCACTCTCAGCTCTACATCAGGAAGGCAGACACTTACCTCTGTACATGGGGGACAGGCAGCCTCCTTCGGGAGCCTCCAAGTAGCTGTGAGCTGTAGGTTCTTCCTATTTATTTGTGCCCCATCTGGAGGAAACAGAGAGCAGATTGAGGAAGTCCCAGTGCCCTTTCACAAGCAGCTTCGTCTGCTTCTCAGAATTGCGGACACGAACCTCTGATAATACTCATGACATTTGTTTCTGCCAGAGAAGCTCACACCCCACAGTCTCCTGGTCAGCTCTCATGTGCCCTCAGGTCTCAGGCAGGAAGGGCCTCCTCCACAGCCCCTTCCCTGACTCCTCTGCAGGAAGCCAACCAAGAGGGCAATAACCACCTCCCTGCAAGTGTGCGCCCAGAGCCTTGCAGAGCTTGGGTGGACCTGGAAGTCACCACTTCTCAGCATTTGGCCTTACGCAAATCAGCTACAGGTGGCCTCTTCAAGTCTTGGGACCCCTTGTGGTATTTTTCTAGAAGCACCTGCAAACCAGAAGGGTTTTGAGGGTATGCCATTGACATGGAAAACCTAAGATGACAGCAGTCAGTAAGCAGTGGGAGCATTCTAGATCCCTGGCTGTCAACTTTGGCTTTCCCTTCTCTGTCCTGACCTACAGTCCCTGAGAACTTCCCCCATCTTGTTCTTCAGAGTAAGTGATTTTTTTTTCCTCCATTCCCATCCACGAGTGCTCAGCCATGGCTCAGAGGAGGATCTCATGACTGGATGTAAAGTGAATGAATGAAGGAACAAACAAATGAATAACTCTGGGGATGGTGGGGTTAAGAGGAGGGAGTGTTACTCCATCAGGGCAAAATGTAAAGAGGCACCAAAACCCAGTTATAGAAATGAGTAATATTTTAATGCAATATGGTAAATACATTCAAAATAGCATAAAAACACAAGGGATGAAATATCAGCCCCTCCCCCACCCCCACCCCCATTTTAAAGGTAGCTTCAGTGATACACCAGTCATTTCTTATCTCCCAATACAGAGCTACAAAGGCAGGGAAAGTATGAGAGGGGCTCTGGGGCAGAGGGACAGAAGTCTGTTCAGGATGAAAAAAGTGCATCTCAAATGATCAAAACCATCTAAGAACCTCTCGCCTGATTCTTTACTCAGAGATCAATGTGCCCAGATCTTAGACTCTAATCCACAACAGTGCAGACACCTGATGTTCAGACACCAATGGGTTTTGTTTTACTTGAAGTTTTCTTTTACTCAACAGAAAATGAAAGTCAAGATGGTCACAGGCTGACTTGTCCTGAGAGACGCAGTCCACAGGGCAGAAGGCAGGTGTCTTCCTTCACAATGCTATTTAATTACGTATTAGTGAATTCTTTTGACCCGGAGAATTGCTATGCCATATTCTCCAGCAGCAAAAGGCATGGAGTATGAACTGTGTGGATCCGATGAGAGGCTCTCATTGAACACGTGGGATACCCACACAAGGCAGGTGGTCTCTGTCTGGTAACCGGAACCACCGTCCTATGTGGTCTTGAAATTCAGAGAAATGAGTATCTCTTCACACATTGCATAACTATTTCTCCAAACATCTTACTGTTTGAGAAAATTGACATGTCATGCAGACAGCCCTTGAACTCGATGCATAAATGATCAGGTCACACATCCAGCATCTCCACCTACACGGGACACTCCAGACATGTAAAACTGACAAGAAATCCTTGATCCTTTCCTCATACAACAGGGACAACTATTCTTTCCGGACAACCTACTAGTTTTGGGGATCATTGTCAGACTAGGGCTCAACAGGGTCCTTGGCACCACACTCCTGCCTCTTCCTTTAAATACCCATTCCTTTCTTAACACAGACTGACCACAGACAAACGTGCCCTTGTCCTAAGAGGCTCCTTCTCTGCTCAAATTTCAGATCTTAACTCAAAGCGAAAATGAACGCAGGTGCTTAGCAGCCCAAAAGGCCATTAAGAAGGACTTCCTTCTGAACGACATTGTATGGTATGACTAAGCCATCCAATATGTTTGCAGGTCACCTTTTAAAATGGAAGTCCCTGGCATAATTATAAAGTGTGTCCTATGATTTGCAAATTAGAACCTTGGAAACAGTACCTGTCTTAAAGCAATAGATACATGTAATAACCTACCATAATTTATATAAGTGAAGTGTTTTAAATAGGTTTCCATATATTCACTCAGGTCTTAGCTTAACTGGCAATTTGTCCAGCCTACAGTCACCTGAGAAAGCAGTCTCAAGTGAGAACTTATCCAGATCAGATGAAGTTGTCTTGGCTGTTTCTTGGCCTGAGACAGGATCTTACTATGCAGCCCTGGATGGCCTCAAACTCACAGAGACTTGCTTGCCTGTGCCTCCAAAAGGAATGAGTACCCACTGTAGTTGTCTGGATGTTTAATTGATGTAGGATGGTCCCGTCCACTAAGGGCAGTACCATTTCCTGGATATCTGATCTTGAGCATTGAAACACAGTTACATAAAGCTTGAACCTATGAGCTGGCCAACACACAGTCTGCTACCATGGTTCATGTTTCACACTTTTGCTTGAGTTTTTTCCCTGACTTCTCCTCAGTGGTTGGCTGTCATCTAAACTAGGTCTTTTCCTCTCGTAAGTTGCTTTGGCGATAGTACTTGTTACAGCATGAATAAACTCACAATAACACACATACACCTATATACCCATTCATGCCTATTGCATCTGAATCTTAACCCTCAGAATCGAGAACACCAGCCTTTAAACTCTTAATGACAGGAAAGAACAAAGTCACCATTGAGGACAAAGGACAGGCTTGATGGTCCTTCTGTTGTGAGGAAAGCCAGCTTTGCTGCAGCAGAGAGCTTGCTGCGGGATCAGGCTTATTCCAGCTATCATAGGTCTAGACACACATGGGGCCATGGGCACCACACACAGCAGCGTGCTTGCATGGAGCATGGCCAAAGTTCTTAGTCGTTTTATGCTCCAGGCAGTCCTAGGTATGTGATAGAAATTTTTCACTAACTGTTTTTTTTGGGGGGGTTCGGGGCGGTGAGGCTTGCCAACACACTGTTAGCTACAGGCACAGTCAGTCTACTGCTGAGTGGCAGATCTGAAGCCTCTCAGACCCAATCTCTGAGTTTGGATCTCTAACTTCATGGTCCTGTGACACAACTCAGGCAACAGCATCGTCTCGGGACCAGTATGGGATCAATTCCCTGTACTCCACAATGGTAAAGACATCCAAGGCGTTTTCATCTTTGCCAATTAAATCACCACATTTATTATCATTGTAAATGGGGGGAAATCCACCATGAAAAAAAGCTATAACCCACACTGCTGCTTTCGAGGGGGAAAGTATCCTGGGTCTCTCCATCCCAGGTCATTTCCAGACCCAAGTTCTCAGTTTGGCCCTCTAATTTTGCTTGTCTTCTGACAGTCAAGGGTTCCATCAGAAATGACTTGGAGGGTATCTCTGAACACCATACAGTGACAGGGATGGTGGCCTGCTTCTTTGTACAGACATTTGTCAGTGAACAGCTGCTGACATGTTTGCCCTGCAGATGTTCCATATTGCTATTCACGCAGCTGACAGACAGCCACCTCTCTCCATCCTAGAAAACTCTCACTTTGAAGTCCTCCAAGGGGGCACTCATGGGAGACCTTGAAACTGAGACCTCCCGGCCTCTGTCACATCCACCAGGTTGGGAACTTCTTACAGACCGTAGCAGATTCCCTGCAGCTGCATGCTGAGCAGTTAGCAGAGAGGGATGAGGAGCTGCTCTCAGCAACACCCCTGGGAATGAACTCTCCAAAGGAAGGCCAAAGACCAAAAGCTTTTTTCTCATTCTCTAAGTACATCACAGAGGGAGAACACAGCAGACAGGAGACATTCAATCCATGGCAGCCAGAGAGCAAGGCCTAGCCTGGTAGATCCTTTTTCATTTTTTGGTTCTCTCTGTATATCCCTGTTTCTGTGTCTGTGTGTCTGTGTCTGTGTCTGTGTCTGTGTCTGTGTCTGTGTCTGTCTCTCTCTCTCTCTCTCTCTCTCTCTCTCTCTCTCTCTCTCTCCCTCTCTTTCCTTCTCTCTCCCTCTGTCCCTCCATCTTTCTCCCAGTGCCAGGAAGGCCAGAGCTGTCCAGACAGAGATTGCAATATTCCACCCTGACAGGGAACTCCCTGGCACGAGTGGCTGGAGAGAAGTTTCTGATCCTGATTTCTCTCAGGTACTACTACCCAATGTGATGTCTCTTTTTGTTGTGACAAAGTCAGGAAGGGATTGCCTTGAGCTGGAGGGGACAGGCTTGAAGAATGGCTCTCTGAGCTCCCTTCCTTGAACCTCCCCTCTTGTCCTTGGCAGGGGCTGAGACTTCAGGGAGAGGCTACAGTAGAGTGCTGGCCACTAGGTGCCCAGGTGGAGGCCAGTTCTCAGCATGGAGATCTAAGTGGGCTGGCCAGTGCTCAGTCAGGATCAGCTAGGCTCCTCTGGAATTCAAGCTTAAAGACATGCAGGGTACAGATCTTTGTAACCTGCCATGGATTTCTCTCACCAGGGAGCTTGGAAGCTTCAAGTACTGCCCCAGGAAAAGCCTTACCATATTGCCCACCAAGACACTCACCTTGGTAAGTAGCTGGATCATGGTTAAAACCTATGTAGGTCCTAGGCATAGGCACTTTCCACACTCTGCCTGTTAGGTCTATGCAGGAAGACTGACTTCCACCCCAGATCTGCCCTGAGGTTTCTGAGGGGCACTGACGTCAAGGACTGGGTACCTCAGACTGTCATGATTCTCCACATGTTCGTGTTCCTGGCCAACTGTCCTATGTCTGAATCCCTCTCTGACACCTTGGACTGAGGTCTTCGAGGTGCACTGCAGGTGAGGTGTCCCCAAAAAGAAGGAGAAAGGCCTTAGAAACACTTATCCCATTTCCAGTTGTATCCCTCACCCCATGCCTTCCTCCTTCCATTACAAGCCCTCCCAAGACTGTTAGAAATTTTGTTCTGGGCTCTCTCAACAAGAAAGCGAGTCATGTTTGCTGACTCACTTTCATTGCATGAGTCACATTGCTGATCCATCTAACCCTCTGTCGACCTTCCTCAGGGGAGGAGTAGAGCAATGGCTGTGTCCTCTGAGCTGGGCTCTTTCTTTTAGTCACCCAGCAAGTCATCACAGACCAGCACCTTTGTCATTTTCTGGTTCCCTTAGTCACCATAGCCCTGGGTGGCTCAGCTGAATTCCTGACAACTGGGACATCATTTTCTTGGAAGCAAAGATGTGCCTCAACCTCGGGCTTTCCCATGGGAGCATCCAGTCCACACCTTGCAGGTGACCTAAAAGTGCAATATTGGAACTGAACTATGGTCCACCTGAAGAAATGGAATTGGGGATGTTATAAAACTGGAACAGGTTCTGTCTTGAACTGGAACTGGAACAGCTTCTGTCTGGTCTCAAAGGAACCTTAGATGTTCCCAAATGAAGTTGTTTATCTGTTCAGATAAACACTACAAGTGGGCAGGGCTCAGCTTCCTGAGCTCTTGAATACAAGTGTCTTATGGGCTGAGCTTGCAGCTCTAGGGTTTACCATAAAAAACACTATGGCTCCTGGCATTGAGAAGCAGACTGCCTACAGCTCTAGGCTGCAGTCTGAGCAAGCTCTAAGCCTTCCTAAACTAGAGAGACTCACATCTCTGGGCCCTGAGAACTAGAAACTTAGCAGAGACTTGTGGGTTTTAAGGTCATCTGCTTATTGCTTTGTGACTTAAAAACCAGCAGGCCTGAACTCAGAAGCCAGCCTTGTGTCAACACGGGATCTGCAAAAGTTAATGTGAGTTTCCTGGAGCCCTCATGCCTGGAACAGGGCCTTCTGGGACAGCAGTCATGGCTTCCACAGCAGCCCTGCTTGCTGTTGTAACTGAAGTGTTTCCTTTGAGTGGTCATGGAGCCTTTAAAACAGCTATGATACATGACTCCCTTTTGTGTTTTAACACTCTCTGACCCCGTGTGTTTTTAAACATTCCAAAAGGCAGAGAGGGGCTTCTGTTGACTTACACCCTGGTGGGAAGCCATGGCACCAGTCCTGTGAGGCAGTCTGCAGTCAGGGAGCAGAGAGCCTTCAACACTGGTGCTCGCCTAGCTGTGTCCATTTCATGTAGTCAGAGACTCTAGCACAAGGCATAGCGCCAGGCACATTCCCCATGGGTCTCCCCACATCACTCAGCCTGATCTAGAAATGCCTTCACAGGCACACCAGGATGAGTCTGACTCAGTCAAGGTGACAGTAAGATGGACCACACAGCTGCACTGCTTGCAGGGACTGCTGAAGGAGGGACTGCTTGGCTTATAGCGCCTGATCAAAGCAGCCAGGCACAGTGTGACCATGAGACCAGGTTTACTTTGTGGGTAGAAAGATAGGTTTATTAAGGATTGACTTGGCAAGACTACCTCTCAAGAGGCAGAGAGAGGAGCAATATTGGGGGTAGTGGTGTGCAGAACAAGCAGATTTTATGTGTCAGCAGGGCTCAGTCCTTGAGCTAAAACAGCTGGCTCTTCGGATTGACCCAGAAATAGATATCTTTGCCAAAAGTAGTTGACCTTTGGGTCTGATGATGGGAAGTTTCTCGTAAACAGAAACCTCCTTAAGATAGCCGTTTTTCCAGTAAACAGAAATCTGTCTTTAGGCTTGTTTATCCAGTAACATTCTCTCTGATTACTCAGCCAAAGTCCTTCTGTTTGGGACACTGTCAGCAGCTGTGTCATTTTGGGATGCTGCTTTGAGCCTAACAGGCACAATGGGAGGTGTCTGTCAACTATCATTTAAGGACCAGAAGAGAAGGCACAGTAAGTTTACATTTCTAAGACTACTAACATTGCTTAGTCACCACCATGAACCGTTAGGGAGTGTTACGCATCTCTGACCCATCTCAGATAGGGCTGTGAGGTCCCACTTTGGCCACGGACACATGTCACATGAGGAGTGGTCTGACAAGTGGGTGGGAAAGACATGGGTCCACCTCCTTTTTGAGATCTTGTGAATGTCGTGGAACTTGCCTCCTCCCTGACTGCGACTTCAGTTTTTCTCCTCAGAACGGAAGAGACTTCTACACTGTATTTATGTTAAAGAACTTTAATTCTTTTATACTCCTTAGTGTGTGCCTCCCAAGTGTATGGCAAATATTTATAAACCTACACATCCAGATATCCACCATCAGATCAAGAAGGAGAACATCCTAATCCAAGGTGGCATCTCGAGTCCCTGCACAGTTACTCTCTCTGATGGTGGCTATTGCTCTGGTTCCTCTTACTCTACACCAGCTATACCTGCTTCTGAAAAGACTGTGATAAAATATACACACTTAATGGTCTTGTTCCTTACATGCACATAGGCAGTGCCTATGCATACTTAGGTGACTGTCGCTACTGCACATCTCCAGAACGTCCCCGTCTCCCCCACCTGACACAGCATAGCAGCATGCTATTCTCGTTGTAGGTCCCAGAAGCCATCATTCCACGTTCTGCCTGTGTAAACTTGACTGATGAGGGACCCTGTCTAAGTATCATTGCAGTATCTGTTCTTCTTGCCTGGCTTATCTCAGCATATTTTCCTCAGGATTTAGCTGACTATAGGCCAGGCCACAGTGTTCTCCCTCTGTAAGTCTGATGAATACACAGATGACAGTGACAAAATGATGGTGGCAGTCAGGTCCAACAGAAACTCCAATACACGAACTCCAAAAGGCCATCCTAATGTCCAGGAATGAGCTCAACCTGGACTATAGGAGGATTTCCTGTAAGTAGAGAAAAATCAGCACTCCTCAGGAACTGTGAAGCCAACCCCCCTCTTCCCAAGGGAATGAGTCACTTCCCTTACCTCTGACCGAAGAGACATATGGCTACCTGTGATTCCAGGCTCCCTCAGTACCTCAAGTGCCTGTTACACATTTCAAAGTTCATGCTGGCCCCAGCCCTTCTCCCTGCTCCCCTCCCCTAATCTCCCTCCAGATAACAATCTTCCTTCCCCCCAGCTTCTCCTTCTCCCAATGACCATGCTGTCCTTGATGTGCCCACCCCTGTGCTCTCCTGCTCTCTGGTGGTCTCTCATTCTCACTCTCCCTCAGCCCCTGCTTCTCCCACTGTGCTTTCTCTGCTCTCTGTCTCCTGCTCTTCCTCCTTCTCTCACAGATAGCCCTGCCCAGGTCCAGCCTTCTGGCCAGGCTTATCTACTTCTTCTCTCTGCTCTGGACTCTTTCATATTCCTCTCTCTCACACACCTCTCTCTCTCTCTCTCTCTCTCTCTCTCTCTCTCTCTCTCTCTCTCTCTCTCTCTCACACACACACACACACACACACAGACACACACATACACACACACAGACACACACACATATTTGTAGTCAAAACTATCCCTTTAACCACCACAGAGTGACCATGTCACCATTTTATACAGTGTTGATGGCAATGATGATGATAGTGATAATGGTGATGAGGATGGTAGTGATAATGATGGTGATGATGATGATGTCACTGATGATGACGTTGGTGATGAGGATGCAGATGATGATTGTGGCGATGATGGTGATGACATGGATGATGACAGTGTTGTCGATGAAGTAGGTGATGATTGTGGCAGTTGTAATGATTTCCAAGTGGAGAGTTTCAAAACTACTTACCCAGAAGCTTATGCCATCTTAGGGTTGATAAATATGAGGCCAAAATGATCTCATATGGTCAGTGAGCTCTGTCTGCTTCTCTTTCTGCACGTCCTTGACATCCTCCCAGGCACTAAGGAGCCTCCATCTCATCTTGTCGATTTTGGCGCCAGCTTTAGGCTCATTCCAGGGTGTTCAGATTCCTCATAGTGTAGAGCCAAGGAGTCCTTGCACTCTCTGCTGGGAAACCCCTGTTCTCAGGCATCTAGGTGGACAGAGGCACTGCATGAATGAATGAATGAATGAATGAGTAGGTGAGTATCTTCACAGCAGGCTCACACAGATCCTGCCGGTTTCAACTCCTGACACAGGCTTGCTGTGGCTTCCTCTGTGTCTTGGTCTATCACTTTCTTCTGGGGCCGTGAGGAGACAGATGTCTGTCATCTCAGATGCTCACACCTACCCTCCCCTACACACACAGACACACAGACACACAGACACAGACACACACACACAGAGACACACACACACACACACACACACACACACACAC